TCTTCTCCCAGGCAACCAACAATAGGACAAGGGGACATGGGCTCAAGCTCTGCCAGGGGAGGTTTAGGTTAGATGTTAGGAAGAAATTCTTTACAGAGAGGGTAATCAGGCATTGGAACAGCCTACCCAGAGAGGTGGTGGATTCACCATCCCTGGAGGTTTTTAAGCAGAGATTGGATGTGGCCCTTAGTGCCATGCTATAGTAATTGGAGTTGGATCAGGGGTTGGACTTGATGATCTTGGAGGTCTTTTCCAACCCAATCTATTCTATGATTCTATGATCTCCGCTCACTGTTGCGGTCTGCCCCCGCCGCACCCCGCGCCTGCCCCGCCTCCCTCACCCTCCACCTCGTGGGGATTCCGCGCGGGACTCGCCGGGAAATGTCAGTGGGGGAGGGCGAGCGCTGCCTGGCAGCGCTGAGAGGGCTTTGCGGGCGCTGCCCGGCAGAGCCTGGGGGTCGCGCCACGGGTGGAATCCAGAAAGCCTCCGCCAGGCCTGGGCTTCCCCGCCGCCCCCAGGATGACGCAGCCAACACCTCCGGGGGCGGCCGCTAAGGGCCGGTGCCCGGCGCCCAGCGCGCACTCCTGCGAGCCGCGCCGCCACGCACCGACCTATGGCACTGGCCCCGGAGCGGGCGGGACGGGTGCTCCTGCCGGCCGCGCTGTTGTTGCTGGCGCTGAGCCCGGGGCCCGTGGCCGCGCTGCCGTGCGTGGCCGACTGCCCGGCGGGTAAGGGCCGAGCCAGGCTGGGGCTCGGGACGCCAGGCGCGGCCCCACGGCAACCACTCTGTGTCTCGGCCCCCAGGTACGTTCGTGGAGAGCGTGGGCTGCGGGCGGGGCGCGTCCTGCCGGCAGTGCCCGGCCGGCACCTTCTCCAGCGCGGCGGGACGCAGCTCCTGCAAACTCTGTCGGAAGTGCGAAGGTACTGGCAGCCCCTCTGTGATTTCCCGTAGCAACGACATGCCCTGGCTAGCACTTGCGCGGTGAGGGATACGCCACTGGCGAAATAACTCCACGCGTCTGCGGGGCTTCTCGCTGAAGCCACCAACCTGATTTTTGTAAGAACAAAGGTCCCGAGTCTTTGCTGCATCACGCTGGGCATGCACGAATCTGTAACCTAGGACTCGTTTTCTCCTTCCAGGAATATTCAGGTATTTAAAAGCGTGTTCCTCAAAAAGTGATGCTGAATGCACGTGCAAGGATGGGTATCGCTGCAGTGGCGATGGCTGTACCTACTGCGACCGAAGCTGTGGCATAGGCCAAGAGAGCACCAACAACGGTAAGGTTACCTTTGCCCACCAGCTGAAAGCCCCTACGCTTACTGCACTAGACACGCATACTGCACGGCCTCTTGCATAATGCAGAAGTAGCTGAAGTAAAGATAAGAGGTGCCGATGCTGCTGAACAGTTTGCGTGGAATGCGGAGCAAGCACAGCACTGGACAAACCCACCAAACTCTGAACCCTACTGTGGCTCAAATCCTGCACCAGTTAGTTTCCTTGGCATGACAGCTCTTTTGTTACTGGCATGAGGAAGACCAGGCTGGGATCTCTGGACTTGGACGTGGTTTGTGGCATCTTGTGCCAAACAACCTGGCTTTGTAGCCGAGTACTGTACTGGTCTGTGGCTCACAATGACAGACTTATCTTGCATACTCAGAGCAACTTATGAAATAGTAATTATGTGAATATTGATTATTGTCATTGTACAAGCAGGCAAAAATAATGTTTCACATGTTGTGTTTTAAATGTTTATCTTGTACAAGTTTACCTGTCCTTGTCTGTTTAAGGTTGCCAGACTTGCCAGTATGGAACTTTTAATGATCAGCCCAATGGTTCCTGTAAAAACTGGACAAAGTACGTAATCTAAAAATAAATGCTACAGCTATTACACTTCACTGGATGTTTTTCTCTAGTTTTTTTTCTTTTCCCTGTTCTGCTGTTAATGTCTTTCAGGTGCTCTGCAAACCAGGTCCGGGAGCCTGGAACTGCAGCAAAAGATGTCATTTGCAAACATGCTTCAGTTAATCCCACTTTAGTCACTACTCTACCTACCACATCGCTTGCAATTCCATTTTCTATCACTGTGCCAGGTGAGTCATTGTATAATGCTGCTTAAAGAGCTAAAGAATTGTGACCTACTTTGAAACATACTATAACTCATTCACTTTCCATTTAAAGCAAGAGTCCTTTCTTCTATGCATTTCCAGTGTTGCAGACTTAGCCAGAAGCAGAGTGTGAGACAAAGCTGTTGGCTAATTCAAGGTCGGTAGAATTTTTTTCTGTTAAAACTCTTAAGCGAATGTTGTTTACTTCCTAGGGAAGGATCTCCAGACAGACATTATCAGGATTCTTCTCACTGTAGCTGGGCTGTTGTGCATAGTGTTCCTGCTACCGTGTATATGCTTCAGTGTCTGGCAGAAAAAGAAACTACATGCTGTCTTCAAAAAAAGTAAGATAAATACACTCTTCAGTTTTCTTTGTGAAACTAGACAGAAATCAGGAATCCAGGTTAAGTGTCTTTCAAAGACAGTTGCAATAGTTTTGGGGTTTTTGGCCTTGTAAGTCAGAAACAACAATCGAAAGGAAAACAGTTTTGCATTTTTATTGCAGAAGGCACTTACTTAAATGTGGGTGTTCTGTCAACTGCTTCCTTATCCCTTCAAGTGAAGTATTTGTGGGAGGTCAGAAAGCTCCCCTGAGCCTTGCTGATCCCGTCAAGGGTCAGTTCAGTTTATTACTTTCAAGTACCATCCTTGGCATCCATGGCTATAGCACTTTCAAGTTCTGTCTGCTTAGAAACAGTACACATGGCCTGGAGTGAGTGTCTTGGAGCTCTGGCTGCAGTAGAAGAGGAGATACCGGTCAGGATGTGCTGCAACACAGGTGCAGAGGCAGCCTGAATCCAACACTGCCCTCTAAGAGCTAATAAATGCTGGGGAAGCTCAAGAGTTCAGCACAAAGATGAAGTGTAAATTGCATTCAGTGTAGTTTGTAGTTGGCTTGTTTGGTTTTTTGGAGGGTTGTCTCTCTCTCTCTCTCTCTCTCTCTCTCTCTCTCTCTCTCTCTCTCTCTCTCTCTCTCTCTCTCTCTTCTTCTCCCCTGTCCTAGGGATAAGGTCTTAATCTTCTAGTGTAATTCTGAATACAGGAGACAATAGCAGTCCTCCTTCCTTTCATTGCTGTGGCAAACAGAGCATTAGAGGTCTTGCTGAATTAGGGGAAACAAAGTATGATAAATTAGTTTTATTATATTTATATGCTGCGGAGGAATAATTTCAGATTATAGAATCATTTGGAAGATTCTTTTCTTTCTGACTTCCTGTACTTGTGACTGAGGAATGGTGAAATAAGATGGGGAAAGAGGGCATTTGTCCAGCTCTGGGCCCCTCACTTGAAAAAACAGTGAGGTGCTGGATTGAGTCCAGAGAAGGGCAACGAAGCTGGGGAAGAGTCTAGAGAGTAAGTCTACGGAGGACTAGCTAAAGGAGTTGAGGGGGCTCATCCTGGAGAAAATGAGGCTCAGGGGGGACCTATCTGGAAGGTAGTTGTAGCAAGGTGGGGGTTTGGCTTTTCTCCCAAGTAACAAATAACAGGACAAGAGGAAATGGCCTCAAGCTGTGCCAGGGGAGGTTCAGAGATCATGAGGAATTCCTTCATAAAATGGGTTGTTAAAGATTGGAAGGGGCTGCCCAGGGAGGTGGTGTAGTCACTGTCACTAGAGGTGTTCAAGAAACTGGACAAGAAATGTAGTGCCATGGTCTAGTTGACAATGTGGTGTTCAGACAGAGATCAGACTCGATCTCAGAGATCTTTTCCAACCTAGTTGATTCTGTGATTGTTTTCTTTTTCTTCAGTGCACACCACACCTGAACAATCAGTTCAGGAAGATGACACCTGCAGCTGCCGCTTTCCTGAGGAAGAACAAGGTGAATATCAGGACCGTGGCCAATCCACAGAATTCAGAGATCTTTTGGTGAACTAGAAACTGAACTGTCAAAGTCAACCGCATTTGAATTTTCTTTTGGAATACACAACAAGAACCTGTTTATGTAAATAGAGAGGTTAACAGAATCTGTGAGTGTCAGAGTGCCAAATAGCCCAGCCACTGACAAAAAAGTGCATCTTTTCCATCTCTTAAAAAAATAAAAAATATCTAGTTTGCTGACTTTCTTCCTCTAGGGCTAAGAATCATTCTAAGATGTGGTTCTTGATCTATGTGTAGAAAGAAGTACAGCACTTAAAAGCTCTAATGGAAGGGCAGAATGGTTTTCTGGTCTCTCATTAATGGTGCTTGAGCCACAATTTACCTGCAGTCCAAAAATATGTTATGCTAAAAAGGCAATCTGTAGCACATATAGTAGAGGCACAGGTGACACGGTCTCTTACCATAACCAGCCCTCCTCCTGAGTCTAGAGCTGAGCTTCTCCCAAAATTTGGCTCAAACCCAGCAGTCTCGGAGTTTGTGTGCAAATACAGATGGAGCTCATTTCAGATCCCATCAGCCCTAGAAACAGATCCCCTGCCTCACCACTGCACACCTTCTTATATGTCACGGAGAGGAAGCCATAAAAATCTAGAGCTGCAAAGTGTTCCATAGCTTGTATCTGCTGTTGTATTACATTGATGGGCTTAAGGGAGGCAGTGGAAACACTGAGAAGCTGTGGTTGACTTGATCTTAGAAATAGCTGTTACTGTGCAGCTGGACTGCACCACCTTCAGCCCCACATCATTCAGCTTTGATCTTTTAGGTGATGTAAACTTTACGTATGTTGCAGATGTACATGTGATAACTTTCTGGTACTATTTTTGTAACTGAGGTTGGAAAGATTTTAACATCAGATGCTATCTGTCCTTTTGATCAATTACTGTTACTTTGGTCTTGAGAAAAAAGAAAATGCATGTTTGAGTCATGGCATTTGCAACACCATTTTCAACCTTCTACAAAACCCAAGTATTCTATTTCTTCAGTAAATGTTATTAAAAAAATAGACTGAAAAGCCACCAATGTCATGTAAAGGGTGGTTTCCTCTGTGTGATTTCAGCATAAGGGAACACTGTTCTTGCCTTTGAAGAATGGCAGCCCATCTCTCCATTCAGCACAAGATTATGATAGCAGGTTATTTTCACCAAACCACATTCATACATTTTTGATAAACTTGTGTACAAATAAATATAAAACAGTGACTTTTATATAGTGAGAAAATAAATATCATACAAAGCCTGAACTGTGAAGTTACTTAAATAAATTCTTCTTTTTAGCCCTAACTCAAGCCTTCTTTCTATTAATACTTTCAACCATGAGAACTAAGTGACTATTATGTCAAGATCACAAACCTAAAGACAGGAACAGGATGCACAAAAAGCCACCAATCTATTTATCAATCTAAGATATATCTACTTATAAATCAAAGAGCAGCCTTTGCACCAGTGGCCAATATCTGGACAAGATAAAAAGAACAAATAAAGAGATCCCAAACCTCCACACTCTCCATTTACATTGTCAGTTTTACAAGCATTCTTAATAATACAGCATTTTTACTTGCTGTGGTACACCTCAGTAAGTGTACTACCTTACATAGAGGTGTAAGCACAGGAAATACTTAATGGTTCCCTCGAACTCAGAAGTTCTAGTGAGAGAAAAAGAAGCTGCTGTTCTTTAACATGAGAGTCAAAGGATTTAGGAATCTGAAGAGGCAATCCAGTGGATATGGTAGTAACATATTCTTTTGTCATTTCATCTCACTGTGCCCTCATCAGTAGGGTGGGCTATGATCAGAATACTTCTCACATGGAATAGTGAAGCTGTAACATGTAACACTGCGTACTTTTCAATAATGCTTAAATATGCCTCAGGAAATGACAGAACAGGAAACAGATTTACTGTGCTGTGGCAGTACTAATTAGCTGACCTTATAAAACTTTCTGCACCTTCTTCCAGTCATTTCTAAAGACATCTAAAGAGATCATCATAGAAATAAAACAGGAATATGGTGGCAGAAACAAGTAGTAAATGAAGGTGGCTTTGGAGGCTTCCTGGATTATCCTACTTCCACATATGATGGTTGGCAATGGATTATTTCCTTCTAAGCATAAATCCTGCTTGTCTTGTAAAATATTTTTAGAAAAGCTACATGGATGCTGGGATGGCATACCATCTGGTCTAGACTACGTAAAAACTTCCTCAGGTGCAAAGGCCAAGGATAGAGCTGAGCAGTTACAAAAACCCAGAAATACCTCCCCATCACCCTCTCTAACTTAAGGAAGGAGGATTGTCCCAAGAACTAATGGACAAATGGATGGAATTAGAGCAGGAATCAGGGAATCATGAGGTTGGAAAAGACCTTTAAGGCCCTAAATGGCATATAAAAGTTAGTTGGAGGGTTGTTCTTTGCAAAAATTTGCAGCATTTCTTCTCCTGCTCTTATACATCCTTCACCAGAATATAGTTCTTCTGCACATTACAGGAAAGGAGCTGCACATCAAGAACATAAAGAGGAAATAATAGAACTGTGCTAGAACAAGCTCACCAGATATTATATCCTTTCTGTGTGAAACAGGTCCTAATCCCACTCTGACAAGCACAGATGGATTTTTCTTATTTCCAAATTTCTTCTGCAGACTCTGCTCAGAAGTAACCAGTTGGTACTGTTTGTTACAAGCCTTACTCTTATAAGACACATACAAAGCTAAAGAATAAGAGTACCCAACTAAATACAGACTGCTCTTCAGAACTCTCTTACAAATATGCCTCAGGAATTCTTGGAGGAAAGAGGATTTTGCTTTACTTAGTTTCAGTGTAGCAAAAAACATTCAACTTGCCAAATCAGAAGACAAAGATCTGATATCTGCTTCCTTCACCTTTGTTAACTCCTCCTCTTGTTAGTCATTCCCATTCCCAGGGACAGCTTTCCACTCCAGTCAGAATCAGTCACTCATCACAGACAAATCAGTTAATGCTTGCTCTGGGAATTCTCTGATAAGATGAAATTCAGCTCTTAAACAGCAAAGGGAAGATTCTACATGGCTGACTGCCATGAAACACACATTCATTTCATTCATTTACAAAATAACCTTGAAAGAACTGCTTTAAACCTACCCGGTGAGACCTATGCCAACTTTCCCTGTTACATAAACATATTTGCCCTGAAATGTGAATCACTGAGCTTGCAGAGATTCCATTTAATTAATAAAAACCTTCGACAGTAAAGGATTAAAGGTATTATGCAGTTACAAAGCAAAGTAAAAAAATAAAAGTCTGCTTCTGTGCACCATTCATTTACTGCTTACGCTATGTGGACAGCTAAATGCCAATGATTATTAGCATTCCTCTTTAATTAGTCAGAAGCTCCTGCCCACACACTGAGCTTCAACAGCACTACATGAAATTTGTCCTCTGATACCAGTTGTGGATATTAGAGTGATAAGTGATCCTAAGCCTCTGTGGTAAGATCAAAAACATGTGTATGGCAAATGTGAAAAGCTTGACAGAAAAATAAAAAAAGGCATAAGGACATCTCACAAAAATTGTCTTTTTTGATCCCCTCTGTAGATTAAAGCCCTTATCCTGTAGCTTTTTTAGACAAAGAAAAGGGCATAGTCTTCAAAGATAGCATAATCTTACTAAGTTTCCAATAAAATAGTTTGTAGCAAGAAACTACCGAGGCAGAGCACCATGCGATTAACAGAGTATGAAGTACCTCAAGCAGAGAAATCTGGAAGATGTCTCTTATGCCTTGTCCATCTCTTGAAATCTGCTGCTTTAGTATTTCTTCACTTCTTCACTTTGGGCTGGAAAAAGTACAAGACAACAGCCTTGCCTGCCCACACCATCACCCAAACTATTAAAAAAATGAATCAGCAGGGTATTGCTGCTTCCCTTTTTGACATTAGTAGTACCATTTTTTAAAAAGTTGCACTTGAAGCCTTAGGAGACAGAAATGTTGAAATTTCTTCCTTTAAATCCTCAGCTGAACCGATGCCTATGTGGGCAGGCTCCAGTAATTTGTTTGGAAAACCCCTCAATAATCTTCTTAAAAAATAATGAATGGTCTAAGAAAGGAACAAGAATGAAAAATGTCCTAGTATGCAGCAGTCATCTGGCTCTGCAACAGATTACCTTGGTAATTCATTATTACAACCTAAATTAAACCTCAGAAAGTGTGTGTTATTCTTTTAAAAAGAAAAATATAGTATCTACTGCTGATAAAACTGTTGGGGAATGCATTTAGTGCAGTAGCTCAGGGTGTAGCTGCAGTGGAGCTGCAGGTTGAGCTCTGGGTAGTGCAAGCCCAAGACAAGAGGCCATGAACTGGCACCAACCCTTTTGCAACAGACCTGTGGTGCCAGGTGACCACTCAGAGACATAGCAGGAGCCCAGGGCTCAGAAGGAAGAGAGAAGAAAGGTAAAGCAGTAAGTGGAAGGCAACAAGGCATAAGAAAGGACTAACAAAAGAGGCTGCTACATAAAAGCCTCATGAAGGCCAAAATCCTGCACAAAATGCTTTAGCCATGATTTCAGAGATTTAAACCACATAATAAAGGCTGGTTCTCCAAGCCTCTTAACATGAGAACAAGCCCGGACTACTTCTAAAACTTATAAGACAGCACAGATGATAGGAGAAGGAAGACAATGGTCAGAGCAAATGAGAAAGCAGACCAGATCATACCACTCTTCATGCAAGACCCATTCCTGAGCAATGAATCTGACCGGTCTGTTTTTCTTTGATCCACACAGTTGTTTGTGTGGTCTTTAGTAAACTGAGCCTCTGATACAGTTCCACCACCTGTAAATGATGTTGACTCCTATCAGTGAGGCCACTCAAGAAAAAACAATGCCTAAGGAATACACGGTATATACAAGTACATACTTCTTCCAGAGGAAAAAGTCTCTTGACCGTATTTAATCATTTCTTTAAAACAAACAGGCAAGAGTTCTTTAGCTGAGAAACGTGTGTGCATGCAAGAAGGCGACAGAAATAAAACCTTTCTCAGAAGAGAAAAATGAAAAAAAACCAAACCTGACCAAACACAAACACACACCAGCCCCAAACAAAGGCAAACACATACTGACCCCTCCCAAACCCAACCAAACACACACACATACTGACCCCCCCAACCGAAACACACCGAGCCCCCAAACACAACCTGTGCCCCCCGCCGTGCCCCCTCCAATTCCCGCCACACCCCCCCGCCGGCACGGAGCCACTTCCGGTGAGCTCTGAGGGGGCCCCAGGCCCGGCCAATATAAAATAAAAAATACAAAATACAGCCACCCACGAGTCAGTCTGGCCCTGTGCAGAAAACCCAACAGGAAAATATGTTCACCTGCCCCAGTTCTTTCCCAATAGTTCTCTGCTTCCACACTCCCCATGCCAGGAAGGACTGGTGTGCCGATTTGGGCTACTCTGGATTATTAAAAGGTCTCTAAAAATCCAGTATTTTGCCTTGAAAATGCCTCACAATAGAATTTTCTGCGACAAAGAAACTCAAATAGGAAACTTTTGCTGGTTCTAAGTGCAGCAGTGTTGCAGAAACACGTGCACCTGCCAAGAAATGAGCCCAAGGCTCCCACCTGCTCTACACCTGGGACTGGTGAAATGAGGAGGAAGGACAGGCAGCAAGGCTGCTTTGTACTCCTTTCTGTGATGACCAGTGTGATGACCTGAAAAATTAAATACAGAAGATTTAATTCTGCCTTTATCCAGATCATAATCTCTTATTAGAGGTGAACAGATTATTTAGGATACCTTGGGATAGCGGTAGAAAGGTACAGAGAAAGTTCCAGCCTTGCTGCAGATGTGTTCCTCTCTTTCCTTATATCATCTGCTCTCATAATTCCAGTTTTAAAATTAAACTGTAATTGCGTAATTAGTTCCATTACATTTTTTGTGAAAGAAGCCTTATTTCAAGATCAGGTCTCTACTCCTCTGTTTGTGGCTGTGTTATCCAGAATTCAATTCCCATAAAATATTGATGTGATGTACTTCCAAGCTCCAGTCACACCAGACTTACTTTCCTTCATGTCAAACAGAGTGAAACTTCGGTTTTGTAATTCTTAGTGCTGAGAGGGCAGGAGAATTAAGAACCAGTTTGTCAAGCTTCACTTGGAAAATATACCTTGAGTACAGTGGGCCAGTCCAGAAGGGCCAAAGAGCAAGAGGGTTTTTTCCCCCTCAAACGGGTGGAAACTATACTACAAAGCAACAATGTTTTGGCAGCTGTGATCCTGTTCTTAAGTATTTTTAGACCACTTGCCAATTCTGTAGCAAAATAAAATATCTTCAGAAGGACCTGCCACCCACATTACACATAGGTATGTGTTCAGGTAAGCACACACACAGACACACACCTATGCACCTTCAGCCCACCACAGAACAAGAAAATTTAAGTCAGAACCTCTCACAGGTATTACCTAACAGTGAAAGAAATTCAGAAGATAGAAATACCCAAATATGTCTATGAGGTTACATGTTACATACGTGACGTGCTACATCGCAGTTCACACACAGTGAGCAGAAGCAGCATCTTCAAAAAGAAAGTGCCAAACAGGCAATTTTCAGTAAACACTAAAATGCAGAGTATAAATAAGGCAATGCAAGCTAGTGGCAGGAAAAAATTGCCTTATTGCACATATGATCTCACAAGGCATCTATTTTGGTATGCAAAATAGATCTAATAATCATGTTATGAAGCTGAATAATAAGCCAAAATGTCAAATTTTAAGACAAAGTAAACTTCTCAGGTGTTAATAAGGACAGGTATCTGCTAAACCAGCAGTGACAGCAAAGCAAAAACCCTCAAGCCCCTACATGCTAGACCCTACCCAGGAAAGTAAATAGTGCACGTATTTTTTTCTCTCATAGGAGCTGACATGTATAACTCATTGAAACAAGACGTGAAGTTAAAAATGCTAGTAGAATTCAAGGAAGAGCACAATAACAATTGTGTATATTAATGTTAATAGGATATTTACACAATAACAAGCTCATCTGCAATTACAGTGTCAATGCAAAAGCATTTTACTGCACACCTCTCTTCTTGCAAACTAAATTCAAGTCAAAAATCTACATCAGAAATTATATCCTCTGAAAATATCCTCATTATATCCTCATACAAATGCTACTGGTAACTCACACCTTTTCTGAAATTTCTGATTTTGCCAACTGTCACAATACTTGACTAATATGTTTGTTCTTAGTTGCCATAAAGGACTTAAAAAGAGGGGAAAGAAGTGTTGCATTATAGATTAGATTTCATCCTTGCTATTTTACACAGAAGGTAGATAATTTTGGGAGGTGTTTTTGATTGGCTCCATTGTGTCTTATTTTTACTTTTTAAAAAAAAGTTTTCTTGCAACTTGTACTTCATGAGCCATCCATCATTTTAAACAAAGAGGAGTTATTTCTTCTGATAATGAAGGATAATCTTTTGTGATGGGTTCATATCCACTTACTGCTTAGAATTTTTTCAGTAATTTATCTGGACTACTATCTGCCTTGTCATTTTAAACTGAGGCTCTTGAAAGAAAGTCTATTAGCATAAATAAGAACTTTGAAAAGTTTTCCCACAAAATAGTAATTTTGGTAGAAGCTAAATCAGTTTCTTGCAAATCAACCTCCCAGTTTTCACAGTGCAATTCACATTTACTTCCCTCACCCATGCATTCCGGGCTTTGTACCTTTGTTTGGTATGAGCTGTTTCTTTGCTTTGCGTGATGACGTGTGCACTGTACCCTGAAGGAAATGCCTTTGACATTTTGGTAGAGGAAAGAGTGTCCAAGTGACAACTTCCAATCTGAGTAAAGGCAATAAGCTGTGGGCAAGTTGCCCAACTTGAACATGACGCACTTCATGATGGCTCTAAGAGGCTGAGTCTTCCTTGAGAAAAGACAAAGGACGGAAGTTGCTTGTGAAGAGTGCTTCATTAGCTTTCTTTGGAGGATGCTTAGAGCGAATATTGATAACACCATTGTCATTGATACTTCACTGAAGGAGAAGCATTTGTACAGAGCATCCAGCACCAACAGTGAGATCATGCATCAAATCAGACCTAATTACTGTCTCCAGTTTTGGAACCAAGAGCTGCATGACTCAGATGAGGAGCAAGAATTCCTCTCTTGCTACTTATTTCTCTCATAGGGAAGCACAGATAAAAACAAGTATAAAATGTATTAGGTTAAATTTGTAGAGAAATCCTTTTATCATAAATACTCAGTTCAGCAAAGAAAAGTCCAGAGAAACAGGGTTTGTCATTCAGACACCTGCAGGATGTGTTCTGTAAGGCAAGGCTAACCCTCTCTTTTGTGCACCTCTTCCTCTGCACACAGGGAAGTTTAGAAAAGTTTAGGCTGGCAGGTCCTCTGTGGGACTGTGGCAGGATAGACCCACCCTGATAAGACCTAAAATCCAATTAAGCTATCAATGCAAACTATCATGCATGATCAACTGTTGGAGCCAGAGTGCTCTCTTGGTGTTAATTCCGCACCTCTCCCACGCCCCAGTCTGCACTCAAATCAGAGCATTTGAACATAGATGGGGATGGTCAGGGCCTTGTCATACTTACCTTTGAAATTCTGTCCCATTCCATCCTTGAAGCTATTCAAACCCGAACAGACACGCTCCTGGACAAACTCTTGTGGCTGACCCTGCTTTGAACAGGTGGATTAGACTGGATGATTTCCAGTGGTGCCTTCTGACCTCAACTGCTCTTTCAGAGACCACTGTGTTTCTGGACAGCCTGTTAACCACGCCCATGAAGGACATCTTTGAATTAGACCCGCAGCAAAAATACATCTGCTCTATATGACCAATGTAGCTAGTTTGAAATTAATCCTGGAAGCCACTGGATGTACAATATAAAAATTACGGTTCTTCAACAGGAAATGTTAATAAAGGAAAAAGATGAGAAGCAGGTAAGTTTATACCTTTTGCAATTTTTAAAATTATCACAAAATTCAGCACAGGGAAAGAACTTTAGTAACATTAGCTGGATTTCATATTATTTTGAAGAGCATTTCGAGACCAAAACATTTGATTAGAGAAAAGTAACGAATATCAGTTTCTTACAAACAGGCATTATCTTCTCACCACCTAAAGGAAAGAAAATAGCCATAAACTTTTTTTTTTTTTTTTTTTCAGGGCTCTTTACAGTTTGATATGACATTTCATAGAGAATGAAGATGAGGGACCAGTCCAGTCAGACTGCTTGCTCTTTGATATGAAAAATGAAATTGTAAGTAGAGAAGACAAGATATCCTAGATGGAGGGAAATAAGCTTTAAAGTGATGAGATTACATAAGGTAGCTACTGTATTAGCATTGAGTAAAAGGCAAACAGAAAAAACATTGCTAGCACTCTCAGACTTAAGTAGTTAGTTCTAACTGAAAGAGAAGTGAAATGGAAAAGGGTCTCCCAGTCTGAGGGACCTGTGTTTAATATCAGCTGAAGTAGTTTATGTGTATCAAGCTAGTCTCCAGATGGAAGCTGTACTTTCTCTGCCAAGACAGTTCTCTAGGGCAACAATGGATGAGGTCCTCTCAAATAAATAGATGCAAGGGGGGCAGAACAAACAAAAAAATTGAATTCCCCTAATACTATCTTTGTAAATTAACTAGATGTTTTAACTCCCTTTTTCTTTTACTTTTTCTGGCACAAGAGCCCCAAATACAACACAACACATTCATCCATCTCAAGAAAGGGGAAAAAAAAGTGCTTTTCGTATCAGAAGCTTTGCGTCAAGCCTGCTAAGGCTCATAAATCAGCTGTCTTATTGCCCTGGTCATTTCAACCAACGTCTGACCCTTTTGTTAACTCATGATTTATAACTGGAAGTTACTTTTTTTTTAAATGCCAGATTTATAAACTTTACTGTGCTTGGTTTGATATAATATCCATTTTGTACACCAAGCTGTAAGACAGTAAATTTATTGTCTATGAACTGTTACCTTGAAAAATTACATCAATGCAAAGTGGTTCCCATTTAGAATCAATGGGCAATAAATTCATTGGATTTTTTTTTTTTTTGAAGGGGGGAGAGAACATGATGATATTTATGAAGTCATGAGCGAGTATATAATGGGAGAAACTGGGAGTAGAGGCAACACTCAGACAGGATTTCTTAGTTACAGGGGTAGACAAAGACAAAACATATTCAACACAGCAATCAATGATGCATAAGCTGATATTCTGCTGTCTCATTATTGTCAGCTTCTCCTGTCCTCTCTCGTCTCTCCCCATCATCAACACCAGTGAGATGTCTTATCAACTCTCAGGTAAGAGTCTTCTGATTTTAATCATTATAAAGAAGGGGCAGGAACAATAAAAGCAGAAAAGAGGCAGGTGTGCTTTCCAAGGAGTCTTGATTTGTGCTGATCAGCTGTAGAAAAAGCAGGAATGCCTTCGGAACACCAGTAGCGCAACTGATATATCAGTGGGGGCTAATCTTGTAAAATGGGGAGGTTGGGTGCCCTAAATATTTATCCCTTCTGCTTTGAGATCCAGGAAACAAAAGTATGTATCCAGCACTGAATGTGAGCTGTTATTTAGTGTTTGAGCATTTGTAGGCATTGGGTAACTTAGAAAAACTTGGCTATATAGTTTCTCCTCTTCCCACGCTTTGAAGTGAGCTATGTTGTACTTAAAAAGGAGGAAACCTATCACAAACATCAAGAACAGGCAAGTCTGTCTTACACTCCTATGTACTGAGCATGCAATTTGTTTGCACTAATTCAGATCCCATTTAGCTCAGGGAAAGGATAAATCTTTGCTTGGAAAAGCTATCTTCAAAGTTTGAAATGGCTAGATAAAAATGCCCAGCAGAGTCTGCACATCACAGCAGAAGGTTACTGTCACCAGACCTGACTTGTACTGGAGTACTTTCTGGTATGAGTTCTGAAAGAACAGGCAAATCAAACCCAAAGTTATTGCTTAAAGTTGACTATTAAAAAGTGGCCGTTCTTACCAGCTTTGCTGGTGCACCAGCTGTTATGCTGGTTAATCGGTATCAGTAATCCCTAGTTTGCTTTGAAAATCTTGGACTTACTAAGCCAGCATCTTCTTAAGCCTTCCACTATGTAACTTGCACTTACAGGTAACCCTGATTCAGTATGGATGATATCTATCGCATCACAGAGTGAACAAGCTGGCTCTAACCATTATTCCATTGGTCTGAAAACATCCACTAGGCTTCTTGAATCTTCCTTGCTAATATAAAGAGTCTCCAGGATTGATAAGATAGAAGAGAAACTCTTTCAAAGAGGATTGGTTTGGGGCCTTTTTTCTGGTTGTTTGTCTTTAATCTCAAAGCAAATTTACCCACTAACACTGCTCTGACTTAAAGAATAATCCAAGGCCTGAGATTTGAATTGTCTCCACAGAGCACAGGGAAGTTACTGTATTGTTATTCTGAGTCTTACAATAAAAACTACACTTTGCAATTGTCCTTTTATGAAGTGAACAAATAATTAACACAGATGTCCAAGGTCTCCAGGTTCTTGATCTTTGTCCAAGTTTCTGAAATGTTGGGGGATTATTTTCAGCAGTTTATTTTCTTGTATATTCCCTGTTGAGGAGCTATACAGTCATACCCAGCCGTGCAGTTCAGAGCAACTGAAACTCCATAGTGTCAGCTAGGTGTGCAACTACAAAATGACATTCATATACACAACTAGTGTTTGATAACCACAATTTTGAATGTCTGCTTTATATTAGCAAAGATGAAATTTACTGCTCAGATTACAAAAGTAGCACTGCTAAGGGCTTCTGTTGGCCACCTGCCATGGGGCACAGGCTGGCCACAGAATTCTAAATTCTCTATGCATAATGCTATCAGCTACAAGCAAACTGTTGTTTCAGAAAAAGTAATAACATCTGTACTGGTATGCACATTAACTGAGAGAGAGCTGCTAAAATAAGTTGTAAGATTTCCTACATTTATTTCTGCCCTTACCCCTCCTTTTCTCAAAGCTTTGGAAGGAAAAAAACACAAAACCAACTATCCCCTATTAGAATCATTAAATGAGGATGGATGATTGGTGCTTTCATGAACATTTTCAACAGGTGGGGCCAACAGACCTGATCAGAAATCACCTGAGACAGACTGAAACAGGAATTCAAAGCAAAAGACTCACCAGATGCCTGTTTCTATCATATTTCATTTGCAGCTGATGAAGATTCGAGATTAAACCTGGAAAGGCTGGGCAGCCCAGGAAGCACCTCTCTGATTCAGTTTCTGCCAGAGCTCCTGGGCACATTGACTGAAGACAACAAAGCAGGTGAGGATTTACCACAGCAATGGGAGAGTGCCCACAGTTTGCATCTCCAGCTTCCACAGATATTGCGCCCCAACTCCCAGGTATTTACTGAAATACAACATTACGCATAGGCAACAGACTGCTGTTATTTAGTTAACGGGGGCCTTAGGGAAACCCACTGAGCAACCATGCCTGCAGTTCAACACTACCTGATAAAGCCTCCAAAGGACTTTAGCAAAACCTCCATAAAGCAAAACCAGGGCAAGGCAAATATTGGCCTTAAAGGAGCTGGCAGACAAAACAAAACAGCAGTCTTACAAAATGTCAATACTTGCAGGAAGTGCAGAATCCATAGCAATGGATGGTTTGGGGAGCAACAGATGTTACTGTCTGGTCCTGAATCTTCCAGTTCAAGAGGTCTGCCAGCTATAGCATTATGGCACGTGAGAATTATTTGTCTAAGTTCACAATTTCTAAATGGTAAAACATTTCATTATGTCTCCCCTCTACCAGGTCTTACCCCCAGCAACTACAACCCAGGGGAATATATCAAAGAGGTAAGTAAATGACCATCTGTCACCGAAACAAGAAAATTAAGATTCCACAATTTAAAGTACACAGAATTGTTACT